ATACATTACAGGTTTCCAAGCCACTGGAGTATACCAGGCTAGGAAGTTGGCTACCTACTCAACCAATGCCGCAACTCAGAAATTGGCTCAGCAAACAGAGAGTGGTAAGTTCATTATGTCATCTTCACCAGCCAAAGTTCATCAATTTAGCCTTCACTTCACCATTATACTCAGCAGAGTTCCACTATAAACCTGTTTATTTACTGTCAATAAAATCAAACACAACAATACATGCTCTGATGCATTTCCATGGTAACTGGAACTCTGTCGCATGTTATTATGCATTTCCATGGGAAATTGAATACAAAGTCTATTGTTCTCATCAGTGAAGGTATGATGTAAATTAAGTACTAATCATCACATTTCACTGCAATTTGGTACATAAATGTCATAGGAGAATCTACAAACCCAATAAGTGCATATTAATTACCTAATTTGCATAATTAGTCAATTTTCGGTTTTTACACTGATAAGAACTAATCATTCCATTTCAACGAAATTTGTTACATAAATGCTCTAGGACAATGCACAGACCTGCTTAGTTTTGCATATTTGCATAACAATAATTATTTGGTTCTAATTTCAATGAAACTTGGTACATAAGATGGTCTGTGACATTGAGCAGATGTTATTAGTTTTACATTAAAACTGTGCATATTAAATCACCTGATTTGCATAATAAATCAATATATCGAGTATTTATCTTATTTCAATAAATCTTGCTCCTGAACAATACACAAACCCAATTGCTTTTAGGTTGAAATCTATGCATAATTCCAAATTTTCTCACTATATTTCAAAACCAATTATTGTATTTAAATAAGACGTGGTATATAAGCATAATAACTTGGCACACAGGAGTTCTTTCTAAGCTGTTTGATTGTTGTTGTTTTTGTAGGTACTGTGAAAATTCAAGATCCTCTACAACATCCTGATTACTTTGATGTACATAAATTATTCACTCTGCAAGATTTATTCCGCGCCAATGTTCACGTGGGACACAAAACTGGTCTGCTCAATGTACATATGAGGAAATATATCTTTGGTGTTCGTCAGAAAATCTGCATCATAGACCTGGATAAAACTGTTAAACACTTACAGATTGCTTTGAACTTTGCGTCTCACATAGCGTACAGAAAAGGCTCTATCCTCTTCATCAACCGCTCATTGCAGTTTACGCATCTAGTCGAGAAGACTGCCAAGGAATGTGGAGAGTTTGCACAGACTCGAAGATGGCAAGGAGGATGCTTCACTAATTCTCTTGTTCAGTATGGACCTGAAGTGAAACTGCCAGATTTGGTCGTCTTTTTGAATACGCAAAACAACGTGTTCCAGGAGCATGCCGCCGTACGCGACTCCGCTAAAATGAATATCCCGACTATTGGGATTGTTGACACGAACTGTAATCCAAATTTAATCACTTATCCGGTGCCTGGGAATGACGACACGCCTGATGCTATGGAGCTTTATTGTAGACTTTTCAAAAACGCTATACTTAAAGCTAAACAAATGAGAAAAGAGTTTGATGATCATGATAATGTTATGTAACTGTTGAAATAATCAACTGTGTGCTGATAACTTTAGTAATAAAATGAAAGTAAAAATTACTACTCTTCTATTGTGTGAATAAACAGCAGTAGATAATATGATTTGGAAGCTCTTTGCTATTAACAGCATGGATTGTGAATTTGAAATCACATTATATTAAAGGGAGCTGCATTGTGCTCCAATTTCTCATTTCTTGTTTAATCCATGTAATTAAGGAGACAAATATTTCTTGAATGAGTAAACTCTACTGGTGAGTTGTCTGTAACATTTAGTATAGTTGTGACAGCTGGATATTACTCTTGAGGTGACATTTCATTTTTGAGCTGTCTAAGCTTCTAGCCTTGTGGTGTAGGCCATTGATGTAGAAAAATAATAATGTACCTTGTGCCCACCCAGTTTTGTGAGTTTACTGTTTGCATTTGATTAATACCATATGTAAATTGAGTATGGTCTTGGTCGACTGTGGTGCATACAACTTTGCTTTTTACTAGGACTGTAACTCATTTTGTCTAATTTAGACAAATATTTAAAGATTCAAAGCTGGAAATATTTGATTTATGTTTGACAAAATGCTTCTAATGCATTAAATTAAAACTTTCTGGTCTACAGGAATATTTAAATACCGGTAACCCTACAATAAAATATAGCGCCCTCTATATGCTTAGGCATGTGTCATACATTGTCACTAGAGGGCACACTCATGTAAACCAGCATAACATTTTGGGCAAATAACCATTGCTAACCATATAAGGCTAGTATCTCCATCCCCAGTTTTAACCCACATTAACCCACAAATTCAGTATACTGTACTGAAAAACAGACGCTGATCTGCCGTAGTCTGTTTTGGAATTTGAGGATGAAGAAAACATTTTAACTACATATATTGAATGTTTTCACATGGCAGCAATGACAATCTACACCTAATGCAACTAGGCCCTCTATGGAAGTGTTTGGTTCAATAAGCACAAATTTACAGAAATATATAAACAAGTGACCTTGTGGCTGAAAGAGCTTCGCTGTAACATCACTCCAGTCTACGTTTCCAACTCGCAGTTAACAATTACAGCGTTCTTTCGGAGGCAACCTTGAAATACCTTTGGTGTGATAATG